ACAACAAATGCCCAAAAGTTACCTTAAAAAATGTCATTATACTCTCATATGAAATAAAAATGCCAGAAACAAATTACCATCTAAATGGGAACCATCTGTTGTTTATAGGTATTTTTAGATATTTGCAATGTTTTCAGAAAATAGTTTTGGCTGCTTTTAGAAAGTCACTCTACAATGAAGATGTTTATGTTGTGTGTTTCTCTTTAGCTCACCTCCCTCAGCCTTTTAACTTTTAGAGGCTAATAATTCTAATTATTATTATTTTTTAAATAAAAGTAACAAATTACTGTGTATTATTCACACTTTGATCTGCTTGCCTTCCTGAACTGAATCACTATACTCAACACATACTTTATTCTTCCAGGTTAACTTTGGGAGAGTTTATTTTCAATGGTCAAGACTTTTAAAAGTAGTGAGTACAATGTTTACACGAATAACCAGTTCTCAGGTAATTAGTCAGAGTAAAGGCTGGATAAATAACCAGTTTTAAAATGAGAAGAATAGTTGTATTCTTGCAAGGCATTCACCCAAATTTGCAAAACTAGGATCTAATGAATCTGTCCTTGACTTCATGGATGAATTGTGAGCTTTTTATCAGGTTGATGGGATTATATGAGAGAACATCTGTAAAGTGCTGAACACAGAGTCTGGCACGCAGGAAGCATGAAAGGCTTCCCAGGTGGCTCAGTGGTAAAGAATCTGCCTGCCAAGCAGGAGATATGGGTTCAATCCCTGGGTCAGGAAGATCCCCTGGCGGAAGAAATGACAACCCACTCCAGTATTCTTGCCTGGGAAATCCCATGGACAGAGAAACCTGGTGGGCTACAGTCACACAGAGTCACACAAATGGGGTCACAAAAAGTTGGACACAACAGCAACAAATAAAAACAGTTATAACAGTGTTAAAACAATTCTCTGGGTTTCATTCTGATCAAAAGGAGAGAAAGGTTGAAGACAGTGTCAACCACTGCCCCTGTAGCTTTTTTGCTGTGTTCCAGTGTGTGATGTGTATTACTCTGGAATTGCTTGGATCACTATGGAAAGTTCTCCCTTCTTACTACTCACACTTACTGTGGAGGGTTGGTCCAATACAGTACTTCTCAGAGGCCATTGACTTGCCTTGTTCACCAACCGTATGCCAGTAAGAACAGTGTGAGCTTAAAGGCTTCCCAGGTGGCTCAGTGGTAAAGAATCTGCCTGGCAATGCAGTAGACACAGGAGACTCAGGTTTGATCCCTGGGTAGGTAAGATCCCCTGGAGGAGGAAATGGCAATCCACTCCAGTATTCTCCCCTGGAGAATCCCATGGACACAGGAGCTTGGTGGGCTGCAGTCCATGGGGTTGCAAATGACTGAGCAACTGAGCATGTATGCACTGACAGAAGGGTAAATTCTGGGGGTATGTCATCATTTTGGTCCCCCCAAAATCCAGAGCAGTCTTAGCTGGTAGCTTCCCTCATCCAGGCTTGGATATTGTCATAGTTCACAACTCACTTCACTGCTCTGACTCTCTTCTTAAGAACCACAGCTTCCAGTGGTTGCCCTAGACTGGCAGATGGGCTGAACTCTAAAATGATGTTTTACAAGAAGGCAGTTCTTGCTGTGGCTGCATTTATATTACAGAAGCTTCACTGGGGAGGCACACTGTTCAAACTTGTGTGTTGGAGGGAATAGGGAGAGGAGGCAGTTAATATGGTTGCCCAGCCTGAAGCTGGCCCATATCCTAGACTGTCAGTAACTTTTCCAAAAGTGAGCTCCAGTAGCCAACAACCTCAAGTTGACCTTGAGGACTTAGCAGCAATGTCAGGTCCCATCAGGGTCTGAAACATCTCCAGAGGCATTTGGTCTACAAACTCAGTGAGCAGCCATCCACCTCACATTTGTCGCCATTCTGCTTTTAGGAAACAGCAAACTGTGAAATTTCAGGATCCCTATGTCAAGGTCTTAGGAGCCAGATGCCCCCAACAGTCTCTTTTCAGAGAATAGCAGCAAGAGACCAACTGTCATCTGTATGTTTGGTTTTCTGTCTTCATGGGTTGCTATGGGGCAGGCGTCGGTGAGTGTGTGTGGAATGGGGGTGCATACGGGGAGTGGGGGTGGGAGAACAGAGATTAGACATGGAGAAAATGAGCTTAAATGGAGAGCATGGATTTCATGACTATAAACCAAGACCAGTGACCTAGGGGAGACTGATACTGCAGCCTTCCAGAGGAGTATTCAGCATCCTGGCTACAGCCTCAGGCTGAGGCTGAGAGCATGTTGGTAAGTGTGACTTTCCCACCCCTTTTCCTGAACCTTCTTTCCTTCCTGCCTCACTTCCTCCATTTCCACCATTCTATTTCTTTTGTGACTTTAAAAAGACAAAAGATATGTACCAGGCTGTTAATACTGGCTAGTCTAGGAGGGAGCGGGCAGGGTATTATTCATTTTAAAATCTCTGTATATTTTTGGATTATATTCCTTTTTGCTATAAGCATTTATTACTTTTGAAATGAAAAATAAAAAGTTGATAAACACATTTCTTTCCCCTACTGCTCCCCTCCCCCAAGTCTTCTGGTTCCTTCCATTCCAGCCCAATTCTATTTCCCAAATACTTGCTTTCTCAGCAAGATAATGATCAAACTATTTGGTTAAAGTAATTCCACTAATGTGTGTGTGAGAAATGTTGTTGGGTGATGTTGACATTGACGATTACCCAAAAAGTGGCTGCAGGGCATTTGAAGAGCAGTTGGCCTGGGTGGTAATCCTGCTATCACTGTTAGCTTCATTTAGGACTTTGAGCATGTCATTTCAAATGCCTATATCTTGGCCTCAATTCTTTATCTTACATGCAAAACTAAGAAAATAATACTACCACTCTTGCTAACTTCATAAGACTCTCAAAGTTTTTGAAACTTTCAAAATCTACTTAGAATGTAATTGCTCACTACATTTTCTCCTAGATCTGATGGCAATGGTGGTGGTGGCAATGATGTGCAGGAAGACGGTGAGAAGGGAATACTACTTTTTTCCCCCCAAAGGGACAAAGATATGTCCGCATTGACCTAGATATCATGACTATTTTTTCTTAAATGGATATGCAGTTTCAAGAAGTACCTTGTAGTTTGTACCCACTAAAACCTAAAGCCCAAATTACTTTGCTTTGTACTCTTTATAGACTGATATGACCTAAAGATGGTTCTCTTAGTGTAATTCCACTTTCTGTAGAACACTATGATGGAGAATTGGCCTCCTCAAGAACATTCTTTCTTTGTCACACCTAGTACCTACTTTGCCCTTTGACTCTACTGTTCTTGTACTGGGCTCTTAAAATGAAAGAAAATCAAATGCTCATTTAAAAAGTGAAATGAGAATAAAATTTCACTCACAAGCAAAATCTTTATTATTTTTAAAAGCAATGGATAAAACAAGGGAAATTAAAAATCATAACCTTTACCTGAACCAGTTCCTCCTTTTTTTTTTTTTTTAACTTTATTCCCCTCATAGGAAAATAATTCATCCGGCCTGACTGTGTTCATTACCACATAGCTGGCATGGTTGTCTCACGCAAGCACCGAGAAGATATGAAACTAAATCAACAGACCCTGATTTGTTGGCTCAACCAAGTATAAACTAGCCACTGGAAAATCAAGTTGAAAACCTAGGACAAATATATGAAAGGGACAAGCCACAGCTTGCAGGAAAGAAAATGTTTGCAGAAAACTCCAGTGCTACAGGTTTATCTAAGGTGTGGTCTCAAGTAAGCTGCAGTAATTACCCAGGATACCACAGTTAGTGGCTGAAAACTGAGGTGTTTCATGGACTTAACCCTTTCATCCCACCCCCGGACAAATTCTTAGAAGAAATTACAGTTTAGCCAGGTTAGATGAAACTAGAGGAATTGTTTTTATTGTAACCAAAATTGTTTTAAATTTATTTCTACCACTGTCTACCAAAGATATCTCTTAATCATGGCTTTTCGGGTCTTCTTTCTAAATATAGAATTATGAATGGATAGGCCTTCTTGTATATTTGTGTTATTTTCTGTCATAGCCCTAAAATCAATCATTTCGCTAAGGAGCCCTGGTCCCTTTAATTGAAAAGTAGTATTAGAACTCAAGATCTGGGGACTTCCCTGGTGGTCCAGTGACTAAGACTCCATGCTCCCAATGCAAGGAGCCCAGGTTCAATCCCTGGTCAGGGAACTAGATCCTATGTGCTGCAACTAAAGATCCCGCATGATACAACAAAGACCCAGCACAGCCAAATAAATATCTAAAAAGAAAAAAAAAAAAAATCAAGATATGAGTACTAGTGTTCTCATTGCTTATGGGGTGTAATTGCTTCTAGGTCGTCTCAGTGGATAGAGTGAGGAAATGTGTCTATACTAGCCTGTGGATACACGTATCTGTAATTATTTCTGTATATATCCATCTAAATCTTTGTGTGATGAAGATAAGTTTATACTGATGTCTCTGAATCTTACCAGTACCACATGATTCTTTTTAGCTTTTCCTCTTTGTGTATCTGTAACTCCTCCTCCATCTATGAGAAATCTGGTCCCCATCATGCACTAACCATTTACTTATTTATTCAGTCTTAGTATACAAGTATAGCAATTTCAGAATTAACAAAGATTCCCATAGTTATTGCAACAGAGTCTACCATTTATTCATGAATACTTCTTGCTGAGAACTTCACTGAGACATGCAACTACTATAATATACTTCATACATCTACTTCTCATTAAAAAAAAATTCTTTCACATGTACAGCCTTATCTTAATCCCTCAAGACCCTGTGTTGTGGCCATGATATAATGCTGGTGGTGAGAAATTGAGGTTCAGAGAAATTAAATAATGTGTATCAGATAACACAGTTTACCAGTGGTAGAGTTGGGATTCTTCTCTTAACCGCTAGATCTCCCTGGGGATGAGCAAAGGTATCTGGAATTCATGGGGTACCAGAGAGAATGGCACCCATAGAGTGAAACCAGACACAGTAACCAGGGCCCTGAGGCACCCTCTCCCCTCAACACACACAGACACAACCTTACCCACTCATCCGGAAGAACCCCTGTCACTAGGACAGAATGAGCATGACTATAAAGAGTAAATTCATGTCTTTGATAAAATCCATCTCTCAATAGTGGCAAATATGTTTGTGATCAGAAAAGAACTAAATGTAAAAAATTCCACGTCTCTTAGCCATTATCACTGGGAATCACTCCAGAGCAATTCTCCATAAACCCACACAACTTAGCCATCTTCTCTTCTAGGCAGATGAGAGAGTATGAGCTGGGCCTTGATGATCACTTTAGGGGGCTGTCACGAAGGAGATTTGTGCAGAAAGGGCATAGAGAGAAGATCAAGTGATCTCAAGGGGGCTTTACTTTCAAGAACTGTATGTGAGCTGTTTTGTTTGGAGAGCAGCGTCATGGAGTAACTGGTGGGATGTTGCCTGGCAGTATATATTCAGACACGTGTCATGATAGATTATCTTGTTAAGCATATTGATTAATAAATATGACTTTGTTCAGACTCCCAATATGTAAATAGTTGAATGATATTGTATCAACTCCATTAGGCATGTGTTTTCTTTAAAAGCTCAGTTTGCAAATTAAAATGGTATCCTTCTAACTTACACAACACCCCTTGCTCTCCACCATCAATGCCTTTAAATAGGTTTTAAAATATTATATATTAATACATTTAGAAGGATTCCCTGGGGCATCTAGGCTCAGAGTTGTTGAGGTCTTGACGAAGGTTGGACAGTTAACTTTGACCGAAATAAGCTGCCTAGTTTCTTGAGTAGCCTTCTTTGGTTTTCTTCTCTTCAAGTGATATGACTGGTCATTATTTACCTGCTAGAAGTGGCTGTAATGAGAGAAACTGGAATAATATAATTATACATTGTGTTCTATTAACTACGCACATATCCCAAATTTCTTTGGCAGAAGCAGGAAGGTTGGGATTGGAGTTAAAGGAGAAAGATGAGAAAGAAGATGAAGAATAGCTATTTGTCTCTGAGTCTTGAAGTATTAGCTATCTATTGCTGCAAAACAACTTGCCCTCTGCCCCAAACTTAGCAGCTTGAAATGATACATATTTATTTCAGAGTATCTGTGAGTCCAGAATTCAGGAACAGCTTATCTAGTTAGTCTCTTATGAGGTTGTAGCCAAGATGTTGGCCAGGACTGCTGATATCTGAAGGATTGATTGGGGCTGGAGAATCTGCTTTGAAGACTGCTCACTTCCATGGCTTATATGTTGGACTGGGCTAGTAGCAGGTGGCCTCAGTTCCCCCCATGCAATTCATAGACTCAAGTGTCCTTGCTAAGCAACAATTGGTTTCCTTCAATGGGGGAAATCCAAGAATGTGAGGCAGAACCTAAATATCTTTATGATCTGGCCTCAAAAGTTACACTCATCATTTTTTCATCATCCCATTGGTTATACATATTAGCACTCAGTAGTGGTGGAGGAGACTACACCATGATGGGGACTCTAGGAGCCTTATCTCACTTCGTTTCTCTATTCATAAATGTAAGGTAACATTTGCCCGGTTTGTTTCATGGTGTTATTGTGAGACTCACATGGCACAGTGGATATAAAAACCAGACATGAAAGAACATAGAAATATAATTCATAAGTGTAATTTTTAAATTATTTTGAAGAAAATATTTCCTGAACACCTGCCATAACCCATGCCCTGGGAAACAGTAGTGAGCAAGATGGACATGGTCTGCCTTTAGACCTTATCTTCTAGTAGGAAACAAAAAAAAAAAGAGGCCATAAAAAGTAGAAGAACAAACAACGAATAATTATGAAATTGTTTTGTTTCCATGTAAGAAAAAAGAGCATCCTCTGATGGAGAGAAATAGGTGCTGAAGCTAATAGGAGGATTATGAAATGCCCTCTCAGCATTCAACTTATCAGGTGAGATCTGAAGAACAAGATGGGCAGTCACATGGTGAGATTCAGACCACACTGGACCAGGGATCCCTGCTGAACAGTTTGGTGGAGCTCCTAAGCTGAACTCCACAAAACACCAAACTGTATTGTAAAAGCCAAAATGAGCACGGCTAGCCTGTGATGCCCACTGTTAGTCATTGTCTCAGGCATTATAATTATAAAGTATGTTCATCGTGCTTCCCATTCAGGGAAAATTATCTATTGACCTTCAGCTAGAGGTGTGGCACCTGAAGGAAGCAACCGGAGAGATAGTATTTGCAGGGCTTAAGATGCATCTGAGGATCCAAAAAGCCTCTCCCCAACCCCCTCTCAACGCCCCAGCCCCCCCAACTCCTCCCCATTCCCTGCTCCACAATGTGGTAGCCTTGGAGTCTGCCAAAAAAATAAATCAAGCCCTGAGTGTGGCACCTGAAGGAAGCAACCGGAGAGATAGTATTTGCAGGGCTTAAGATGCATCTGAGGATCCAAAAAGCCTCTCCCCAACCCCCTCTCAATGCCCCAGCCCCCCCAACTCCTCCCCATTCCCTGCTCCACAATGTGGTAGCCTTGGAGTTTGCCAAAAAAATAAATCAAGCCCTGCGCAGGGGTGTTGAATAGAAAACAATGGAGGGTTATATGCCCCTCTCACTTCTGTTCCAGGTCATCATGGAACCAGCTGAGGACTTGGGTGAAGGAGATTATAAGATGGGAAATGGAAATTAAACTTCATGGCCAGCTTCCTGGCTATCTATTCCAGGTCATCAGCCTCTTTCCTAGATTTTTGTGTCACTCTGTACGTTTAAAAACTCTTTCAGATCCAACAGAATCATTGGACACAGGGCAGGCTTACCCTAATTGTGTTGATTTCTGGGTTTGTTTTTAGTTAATTAAAAAAAAACATGCTCTTACTTTAATTATTTCGTTATTTTTGGCTCAGAGCAATAGAAACCATTCTTCCAATATTCGGTCTCTCTAAGTAAGCACAGACCTGAATGGAGAGAGATAGGCCACCCTTAGTTTGTGGGAGAGTAAAAGATACAGTAAAGTATCTCCATCAAATCCTAGCTCACAATCCTTTTGTCTGAAGTCTAGCAGAAGTGTCCTTTACATGAGAGGGCTTTACAAACAGATCGCTGAAAGCAGAGACATTTCGGGGTCCCTCGTGAATGTGTATCCTTTCCCATTCACCCACCTGTATCAGAACAAGCAGAAGGATAATACAATACAACACCTGAGCAGCTGGCACAGGCACGTTTGGGCCCACAGAGGCTTTAAAAGGAAACCCAGAAGCCCACAAACTCCCCCAAACAATTTTGCTTTAAATATGGTTTTTATGTTAATCTCCATCACAATAGATGATCAGAATCAAAGGAGCGCCCTATGGAAAATTACTGTAAAGCACAACGCGCGCGACAGGGTGCTTCTTGGCCAAGAAACATACTTGACAAATTGCTGCAGGATCATGCTGGATGAAGCCTCATTGTGGTTATTAGATGTATGACTTAGGGCCATGTACCTCTTTTGATCTAGCCCACTGCTGCTAGTGTTTGCAAACAGAAACCCAGGTTACTACCACATCCATCCCAGAGCTCAAATCTCTCCAGAACCCTGGCAGTCCAGCATCGTGGTTCTGGCAGTGGATATTGACGTCAAATGGATCTGAATCTTAGTTTTGCCGTTTCCTGTCTTTAGAATCTTGCAATTTGCATCTGTCTGAGACTCTCTTTTTTTCTAAACTGATTTTTAAATTAGATGATATACATAGTCATTTTTTAAATTCAGAGTATACACGTAGACAGAAATAAGATAGCAATGTATCTCAGTTAATACAAAGCAAATATTTCTCTTTTTTAATTTTTATTTTATATTTGAGTATAGTTGATTAACAATGCTATGTTAGTTTTAGGTCTACGGCAAAGTGATTCAGTTATACATATACATATATCTATTCTTTTTCAAATTCCATTCCCTTTTAGGTTATTACAGAATATTTGGCAGAGTTCCCTCTGTTATACAGTAGGTCCTTGTTTAATTATTTTCAATATAGCAACGTGTACATGTCAGGGACTCTCTTTCCAATGGGAATAAAAGTAATGTGTACTTTCTAAGCTCATTGAGGATTCAATAAGAAAATGTTGAGAAAACGTCTTTCATAGTAAGTGCTCAGAAAATATTTGTTACTTTTATTGTTTGTTATGTAATATTATTAATTAGACTTACCAGGTAGCGCAGTGGTAAAGAATCTGCCTGTGAACTCAGGAGACTCAAGAGATGCGGTTTTTATTCCTGGATGGGGAAGATCCCTGGGAGAAGGAAATGTCAACTCACTCCAGTATTCTTGCCTGAGAAAATCTCTTGAACAGAGGAGCCGGGTGGGCTACCGTCCAGATAATTGCAAAGAGTCAGGCACAACTGAGTGACGGAGCACAGCAATGCTCACCTTTCTACGTTTCAAAGAGTCAGTTATGGCTTGTGGGCAAGCTCTTCCCTGTAGCTCAAATGGTAAAGAATCTGCCTACAATGCAGGAGACCTGGGTTTGACCCCTGGGTCAGGAAGTTCCTCTGGAGAAGGGAATGGCAATCCACTCCAATATTCTTGCCTGGAGAACCCCGTGGACAGAGGAGCCTGGAGGGCTTCTGTCCAAGGGATCACAAAGAGTTGGACACAACTGAGCGACTAACAATACCACTACTACTATGGCTTGTGGGCAGGTAAAGTCTACATTCATTATCAGTTGCATCTCTAACACTCTTTCTCTATATGGGTTTCAAGGTTTTCTTTTTGGAGCTATTAATAACAAATCTAGCCAGCATGAGACTATGGTATGGCCTCAAACCTGTTCTCTATAAGCCAGAGTTCTTGGATTATACTGTTACTGTGCATTTGGGCCTCAATAATGCTGTTAATGCATGAACATGGATCAGTGCTGAAGTTAAGTTCCAAGAGTTCCAGTTTAGTGGAATGTTTTTCGGGCAACTAATAAACACTTTGGAGAAGTCATTTCAGCCATATAACAATCTTCCTGTGAGCCATTGTACTGGTTTTGGTATCCCTTTTAGTAACATTAGCTAACAGTTCTGTATTATTTAACATTCACCTTAGAAGATCTGGGAATAGTTGAGCTGATTGGAAAAAGGCAGTGGGCACTTCAAGTTCAATGTAAATTTTCAATGTGGTTTAAACAAATTAAAGTCCTCTTTAACTCACAGTGCTTAATATGAAAAGCATCCAGACTAACATAATAGGTCACACTTAAATGATTCTCTCCTTAAGAATTAAACTGTCTTTGTACCATGCATTGGTGGCAGAAGATAATAAGATGCAGTTCCCCTAACCGAATCTTTCTTAAAGGAACTGACCAGGTAAAAGAATGAAGTTACTGTGCATGAAAAAAGAAAAATACAAAAATAATTTGGCCTGTTAAAAGAATCAATTTTTCTGTGTACTGGAGCAAGACGCTAACAAGCATGACAGTGAGCCCTTTGGCTATTGAAACACTCTGTAAAGTCTTTGCTTCAGCATGGAAGGCATCCGTGGATGAAGTTTCAGTGCAGGGTGAGTCTAGCTGCCCAGGTCTGAATTCATAAAGAGTTTCAGATAGGATATGTCTGTGACTACTGGGCGTTGGGATTAGTAACAAGATTGTATGCATGGGGAAGGTGAGATTAATAGCATATTGAGGATTTAACCCTCTAGAGAAACAGAATATTACTTCTGTCTGAGACTGCCGACCACCACTGAACCCTTCCCTATGGCTCAACTTTCGTGTTTGTATAAAGTGGTCACTTTTGTTAGTACTGGCGTAGAAAGGGCAGAAGACTAAATGGGGTTAAGACATTCAGTTTCATCTGAATAAGACGGTAGCAGGTGAAGATGGATTTGGGAAGAGGCTCCATTTGTGTAGTGAGATTGCATAAAGCTGCCTGAAAAGTTCTGTCATATTCTTTTTGAATAGACCTTTTAAGTTCTTCATAAATTTGAAATTCTTTCATCCCAGCAAGTGAAATATAGCTCTAAGTTTGCACTGACTGTATGAGAGACACTGTTCTTTACATTCATTTTCTTATTCAGTGTTCATAGTAACCCCTGAGGCATGGGTAGGTATTCCCAATTAAGAGACCCACAAACTAAGGCTCAGAGCGTAAGTAACAAGGCCAAGTTTACATAGTAGTAAGTGGAAAAGTTGGGATTTGAAACCAGGTCTTTCTGTCCAATTCTAAGATGTTTTTAGGATGCCCCTAAGTGCTATGTGATCATCTTTGCTTCTATTTGGGCTTCCTTGTCTCATGGGGAACAGCAGGGGCCCCCCTCCCCCACAGAACGACAGGGGACAAGTCCTAAGTCACTCCTCTAGGGAGAGGACTTTTTCATGTTAGAACTCTATTCAATTTCAAGAGCTAATGGGTGCCTATTTTTTGTGTTTTGAAATATTAATCATAAATGTACTTATGGAGACACAGAATAAAATATTTTAAATTGGAACTATCAGACAATACCGAATGCTGGTGACCCTAATTACAGGACATACAGCACAAAAAAAAATGGTACTGCAGTCCCTGGTCCCTGACACAACTGACTAGCTGGGATGGGTGGTTAAGAGTATTCTGACTATCTAGATGACTCTCTCCTTTTATACAGAAAAAGAATGCAAGCATCACTTAAAACACCAATATGAGAACAAGTGACTCTGATCTTTAGTCAAGCTCCATCTACCCTCTGGGCTTCCCAGGTGGCGTTAGTGGTAAAGAACCCACCTGCTAATGCAGAAAACATAAAAGATGTGGGTTGGATCACTGGGTCGGGAAGATCCCCTGGAGGAGGGCACGGCAACCCACTCCAGTATTCTTTTCAGGATGATCCCATGAATAGAGGAGCCTGGTGGGCTGTAGTCCATAGGATCCCACAGAGTCAGACACAACTGAAGTGACTTAGCAGGCACGCATGCACATTTGCCTTCCAAGACCTTTTGACAGGCTGATCCATCCCTCTGGCTTCTTGATGAGTATTGAGATTGGTTTTAATGACAATGTGTGAGAGAAACCTTGCAGTGTGAAAATGTTAACACACACACGCGTGTGCACAATGAACAATGTGAGCAGAACAGAGAAACTGCTAGGGCCACAAGGTGACTATAGTTGCTGAAAACGTGCTGTCTCTAGCTCCTCCGCATCACCACCTATGGACTCTGCTTTCTGGGCAAAGTTCTCCCATTCCCCATTCCTGGATGAAACGTCCTGGAAACCCATTCTACTTGGTTAGCTAGCTCCATCTGAAAAAATAAATTCCTGCCAAAGCTATTTTTCTGTTTTTACTTCTAGTTTTATTGAGATACAACTGACATAACAAGACTGTATAAGTTTGAGATGTACAGCATAATGATTTGCCTACATACATCATGAAATGATTATCACAGTAAGGTTAGTGAACATTCATCATCTCACAGAGAAACAAAGTCCAAGAAACAGAATTTTTCCTTGTGATTAGAACTCTCTTAATAACTTTCATATGTAACATCACATACAACAGTATTAATTATATTTATTATGCTGTACATCACATCCCTAGTACTTATTTATCTTATAGCTGGAAGTTTGTGTCTTTTGACTGCCATCATTTTTCCACTCCTGCTTCTGATGAACACAAATCAGATCTCTTTTTCTATGGGTTTGTTTTTGAGATATCAATGACCAACTACACTATGTTAGTTCCTCTTAAACAATATAATGATTTGCTATTTCTAGACACTTCAAAATGATTACCACAGTAAGCCTAGTTACAATATGTCAGCATACTAAGATATTGCATGGTTATTGACTATATTCCCCACATTGTACATT